ATGATGATGATGATGAATGATGATGATGATGATGCTGATGATGATGATGACGATGATGATGATGATGAATGATGATGATGATGATGCTGATGATGATGATGACGATGATGATGATGATGAATGATGATGATGATGATGCTGATGATGATGATGACGATGATGATGATGATGAATGATGATGATGATGATGCTGATGATGATGATGACGATGATGATGATGATGAATGATGATGATGATGATGCTGATGATGATGATGACGATGATGATGATGATGAATGATGATGATGATGATGCTGATGATGATGATGATGATGATGATGATGATGATGATGATGATGATGATGATGATGCGTTAGAGTCGTCAAATAATACGGAATGAGAGTAGTCAAGTGTGAAAAAGGCGGAAGGAATTCAAGAGGAATACATCACTCTGTGGAGTGAACGACAGAGGGCGGTAAACAAGAGCAATTGGGAGACGGTTATTATCCCTTAATTCTGGAGGGGGCCAAAGGGTTGCGAAAACGGTAACATACGTACATATAAGCCAGAGAAATTAGAATGTCACTGTTTGTGTAAGCACACATGCCAACAATGAGCCCGTGTGGTGTACATTTCGCAGCCTGGGAACGCGATCTCGTAGCCGTCGAACCCGAGAACAATTTCTGTTAGCCAGGTAACTTCTTCCGTGATATTGGCAGGATTACTGAACTGGATGCACGAGAGTGAGGTAGCGTTTGCTGAAATTGACGACAGATTGAGGTCTATGGGTGGGAAGGGGCGATGAGGTTACGGGAGTACCAGTGGGTGAGGCATACATGAAAAGCAAGCAAGAAGTATCAATTTTGCAGTAGTGGAGGGCTTAATTCAGACGATAGAAGGACGGGGACTGTGGCATTAAAATTCATCACCATCATCATCTAGGACGGCGAAGCATCAGTGTTCGAACACTGATGTTGTGCTGTCGACTGAGACTATGGTTCTCATCATTACCAGAAACACCACGGGAGAGCGCAGGTGATTCATTACTGTACACTAATGCCAACTTAACTGAAAAGTCCTGTAATGAAAGGAAAAAAAGGTGTGGCGAACTGTTTACATCGCCAAAACTCAGTCATGCAGTCTGGACAGAAACCGCCGGCATGAACATCGGTTGCTCGTTATATCGTCCTGTCTCCAGCCAAGCACGGAGAGGTTTACGTGGACCCCATCCTGGAAGGCAAATAGCACCAATAGCGCCTAAAAGTTTCATACCATGCTTCCTTCCATTGTGCCACCTCTGGATTACCGCTATTCTAAAGCATGGGGAAAATGCGCGTCTTAGGAGAGGGTAAGTCGGCATGGATGGTACACGACCCATTTACATTAGCTTGGATGAGTGGACTTATTCTTTGAATCATTCTATGTCGTCTACAAAAGCGGTGACTTCAAGGAGATGACCTTTCCAGGAAAAAAGAAATGTAATAGGCGCGCGGATATTATTACCATTGACAAGAAATAAGACACAATAAACCAACAGCATACACGAGGAAGTAACACTTCCTGAGTTGCACAGCATCGTTATAAGGTCCACAGACCACTTACTCGGCAAAGCGCCTTGCATTACGAACACCGAAATACCTACCACTGCCTCGTGAGTCAGACTTGAGTAAAAGGCTCAAGGCAGGGTACCATTTGATAATTTGAAAAATTTAGGCCGATAAAGTGGCATAGATCTCAAAAAAAAATGTATATTAGGCTGTAGTCCGGGGTGTTTTGTTGTGCGGATGTGAACAGCAGGACTGAGTCTTCAGGTGGCCGGCACCCACCGTCTCAGAAACGTAGCTCGTGTCGGCCGGTGTCGGCGAATCATCCTTAGACCCAGAGAACGAAATGAAATCGACCAAGAAAAGTCTGGGTGCTATCGATGCGATTCAACTTCTAGAATGGGGTCCGCGTGATCTCCACTGTGCATTGTTGGAGACACTGTGACATATAGTTTCATGTTGGTATCAATGGCGTCCTTGTTGTAAGTTCGTATCCAGATTGCCTGAATAAGCATCTGGAGGTGTAGGCGCCTCGGAACGATTGTGGTAGGCTAGCACTAAGCCCCTTCCTATCCACTTTAGTTTCTCCTTCACAATAAGACTTCCAAATAAATAATGCTTGCACGGCAGTAAGGCATCCGTGTTTTGTTGTCAATGGTGATGATGATGGCCTACATAAACCCCATTTATCACATGGGGAAACAATAAGTAAGAGTGAACCTTGCTTCATTGCTCGCCAACGTCAATCATCAAGCCATTCCCACCCTACAAGGAAACGTCGTCGGACTGACTGCCTTGATCTGTCCTGATGTCCTGATGAGGCTTGACCAAACCGTTACCCGTTATTACCGACCAAAATAACGCACCGATAAATCTTTTCATGAAAGTTTAGTGTCCGCATTCTTTCAGCTTAACAGACGCACGATGTCTGTTCCGAAGTTATGCTCCCGTAAACTCTCGGAATCCTACACCATGCATGTGACAATTGCCAGTGAGTACGGGCTTGATTGTAATGGCTATCACATTTCGCAGCTAAATGGGGCAAGAGGAGTCTTACAAGGCACAGTGTCCTCTGATAACCGGAGCACACACCGACGCAAGAACAATCTGTGACGTGACAAAAGCTTACTTATCGTTTGTTTAAAAAACATTCTATGGCCTCCTCCATCGCTAATCCGATGCTCCTATCAGATGTAAGAAATCTTTCGAAAATAGCAATGATCAAAAATCGAAGACACCTTGATACACCCTGCTCAAGGGTTAGGTTTCTCAATCTTGGCAACCAGCTGCAAAGACAATCTGATTTCACGTCAATTCCGTAAATTAGCAGACGTTGCCTGATCTTCCGCATTCGAAAGGCAGCTTCGTTTTTCGCCAGACAACCAAGACCGATGCAACCGTTCAAAGTGGCGAGTTTGTCACTTACATCAATCGGTTCGTCCGTGAACATTATTGACGGGTCCCTATTGACCTTAAAGCTCTTCACAATTGTAAAGAACACGTCATCATCATCATCACCATCATCAATGTCAGCTGTAATAGCCGCGTACTCGTCGTACGGTGGTTGTAGCTGTCACAGTTTCGTTCGCCTATTATTCAGGGAGGTGGGGTAGGTAGCTGTGCATTGGAGGCGGAAGCTGATAGATTAGTGCGTAAATACAGCATTGTCAGTGGACTGTTAAGTGGGGGGTGGTAAGGGAGCTATGCATTGAAAACAATAGCTTGGATCAACAAGCGTCATTGAGGGCGCGACTGGGCCATGTCTGACAATGTCTCTAGCCACTGATGTGACCCGTCTCGGGGTTCCCATCCAGGGAGACGGCAATGACCAGCGCAGCTGAGTTTGCTGGTAATGGCTTTCATACTTCGCTGCCAAGTCATTGTTTGATCGCCTCTGGCTCCCTTCCACCCTTCACGTGGTTGTGCGAGAAGAGCCCTTCGAGGAAGTCGATCGACTGACATACGCAGCATTTGGACAAGCCAGCGCAACCTGAGCAGTGTGATCAGTTCATCTATCGAGGGTGAGTTATTTTTCCCGAATACCAGTCGATGTACTTCAGCATTGCTGATCCGGTGTTCCCACCAGATTCGGACAATGCTCCGAAGACATCGATGGTCAAACACTGAAAGTCTTTTGACTTCCTGAGCGCACAGCGGCCAGGTTTCTGATCCATATAGTAATATGGAGCGCACCGCAGCATTGTAAACTCGATCCTTGACAGAGAAGCTGATGTCACACCTACGCCACAGGTGACGCAGGTTCACAAAAGCCGCTTTGGCCTTCCCAATCCGGATGGAAATATCATCTTCGGCCCCAGCGTGCGCAGATGCTGATTCAAAAAACCGACGCCGGACGAATGTTATAATTGTTGGGCCAACGAGGAAGGAATTATTGATATAGAGAGAGGGGGAGAAAACGTACATGGGAGAGGAAGAAGGTAGGCGGCATCAGTGGCCTGTTTTCGCTTACCCGGCTGTATGCAACAAGTGAGGTGACCCGGTTGATGGCACCACGCGACGGCCGATGTGGCGTGAGAATATTGTTACTGTCATGGTTGTATGTGGGCTCGGCCGCCACAGCACCCACACCTAGACAGGAAGATTAGGGTACTCAGCGAAAGCCTTTGGCTATCCGCAAGGCCGCGGTGTTTTACAGGAAATGCAAGTGCCACACACCCTCCAATCCACAACCTGGAAGGCCAGGAGAATGTGGTAGTCACACCTCTGGTAACTGAACAAACTGGTATGAGACTGTGAATGTCCCATGGGCACCCACCAGTATAGCTCAACCGTTCGCGGAGGTACACAAACCGTTAGGCCACGGTAAGATCCAGGCTCTTCGTGACAGATACGAAACTCTTAGTTAGACCAGGATTTGTGTTCAAACATCATTGGTCGACTGACGCTGTCGTTGTACTCGACGGTCAGTCGAGTCAATTACGACCTTTTAGTTAAGAAAGAATATGACTGTTGGCTACGGAAAACAGTGGCGCTATTGTGCCGCAAGTTAAAGACTGGGTCTACACACATTCTTCAGGAACCAGTTGTATTTTCGGAGTATTGCTCAGGTAAGACTAGGGATGCTGCACCTAGTAGGCAGATGTCGCGGTGGTTTTCGGCAGTACACAGCCGCTTCTGGAATTTTCAACTGCTGTCAACTTTATTAATGCTCCAATCCATTTCCCTCAGTTATTCACCATTCATCACTTACCTTCCAGTGAAAACGTTTCAAGGCAAATTCATTATTCTGCTCGAGTCCGGAGAACAGATGAATTTTGAGTTAAAGTCCATCTGTTTTTACCACCTAGGATACCAACATCCAGCGAGTATGCATACTAAATATTGTCTTGGTGCGTTTGGATGCTTAATCGATGTGGTTCTTATAAGCTTCCGACTACCAATTTGCCTTCAATGAGCATGACTTCGGATAAACAGAACGGTTACATAAAGGATTCACACTAGAGAAATTCACTTACATTAAGTGCCTGCATATCCTTATGGTATTCATCTTCAAAATTCCTGGCAAGTGCTTCAAATATCCGGTGGTCCGTAATAGACGCTCCATGTTTTTGATCCAATACATCAGCTATAGCATCACGTGCATGGTTAATCAAATATGCAACAGCGTCTCCACCATTAGGAGGCTGCGAACTCAGTAAACCAATCAGTCGATCGACCTCCTTGCGAAAATATTCACGTTTGTCGGGATCAGGATCACATGTGGATTTTTTTTTCAAGGTCTGTATTCAAATTAGGGGAAACGAAGGCCGAGTAAAGCAAGCAGGTTGAAATTACCCAGGGTACGGAATACGAAATACAGCAATTCACAAAGTGGATGAGATGGCTCAGTTGTCAGAGCGCGAATTTACTGACCGGAAGGTCCGTGGTCCGCACCCGACCTCCGCCTCTCGACTTTCCTTGTCTAGACTTGGGCGACCCGGCATATCCCACCCCTGGTACTTCATTTGGGTGGCATGGCAGCTGGGCACTGAAAGGGTGTTGAAGCTGAACGATTGTCTTATTATTATTGAGTCACAGAGAGAAACTAATGATACCGATGAGTGATAATGGAACATAGTTCGATACGTTTACAGCCCTGAGCTGTAAATATTATACAGACTTCAGTCTTGACACAATCGATCGCCCACGAGATAACAGTACCTTTCAATTCCGAGAGGAATAGCACTGAATTTGGTGCCAGTAACTAGGTAGATGATAGGCCACTCAAAGACTGCAGCACAGTTACAGGTTCAGAAATAATTGTAGGCGCAAGGCGCAAGACACAAGGAAATCAAAATCAAAAGATTCAGCTGGAATACCCGTCCGGTGACTAGCTGCCATGCCACCCAAAGGAGCCACGAGGGACTGGATACTGCCGAGTTTCACAAGCCTAGACAGGGAAAGTCGAGAGAGGTCGGGTTCGCGATCAGATTATTTAACAGTGCTTACGCTTCGCCCTCGTGTTCACGTATGAAGAACATGAGGTCTGTATACTTCAAATCGACAAGGTCCTCACCAGCGACGAGTTGAATATTAGTGTATCGAAGACCCTCAAGAATTGGCCTCATTATTTTACCGGCGACGAAGCTGGGTGAGAATAGAGAGAATGGATCCCCCTGCCATACAATCTCAGTGAATGACTCCCAAATCATTCCCACACGTCCGGAAGTATGTGAATATTAGGACTGGATTGTTGTCAGAACCACCCGGTACCACGCGAAGTAAGCAGTCCTCGTCCACCCAGTAGACCAGTCCAAAATGACAACGGAAGAATGCCGGGTGTAAATTTACCATGCCACCTCGAACATTCAGGAGGGATACAACTACAGGAGGTTACGAAAACTGGAAGTCCAAATATACAGTTAACTCTAGGCGTGGAAGCGTCAGTATTTCTTCGTCTCCCAGATGAAGCACGAACAGTCACTCACCCTGATAGCTTCCGATATATCACTATAAACGCCAACCAAATCGTTATCCATTTTGACATACTCGCCAAACAAATGATTCTGGCGCGCCCTTTTGATTATCTGAAGGGCTCGTTAAGCGGTACCGGACGCTTACCTTGTCGTCTACGTCCGTGATGTTTAAGACATAAACAACGTCGAAAAGGAAATAGTCCTTCAAGACTCTGCGGAGTGCATCGAAAGCAATATATGTTCTGGTGAACGGTATCACCAGAGCCAACAGGGATTACCTGGCATGACCCATGTGAGAGACGTCATAGACAGTTGGACCACAAGTGTACCATCTAACTTTTATCCCGCTCTCAGGCACAAAGTCCTCCTACGGGTGCGACATACATTTAGGGTTAAAAAAAACAAACCTTCCGAGACGTCAGACTGTTGAACAACCTCAGATCGGGCAAGGACACTCGGTCGGATGGGGTCGGGACCCGCCATTTTGGTTGCGTACGCTTCTCCATAGCTTAAGTGCTTGAATTCCAATTACCTCTAGGTAGTATTCATACCTTGGGGTTCTCCTGAGTACGATGAGCACTGTAACACGGTATTCCACCTACGATAAACAGAAACCCCGAGTGCGGTCCGCAAGAGCGCAAAATTCGAAAGGCCCATACGTGTGGCTCTACGAGTCGAGCACCAAGCAGCGCATATGCCGAGCAACATGATTGGCTGAAGGCGCCGAGCATCTGAGCACGAACATTTGATTGGACGCTGACGACGCCCAGTATTCGCACAATGGAATTCAATTTACCAAAGCTTTGACGTGCTCCTGATGAACTCAAGAATCACTGAACTGAGTTCAGAGTACCAGTACAAACTTATGAGTACTACTGAGTCGTCCCTGCGGCGTCAGCGATTCTGGGAATTTTTTTCGCCACATTTTATTTGCCAAAAGCATGACCGCTTCAGTGGGCAATGAGCTTTGGCAAGCTGCAAAAATGTGGGGGGAGATTAGGGTAGTTTTGAGTTTGAGTAACAAAATGCAACATTTTGGCGCAAAAATTTTACTCGAGTCGTGGGGGGAGATTAGGGTAGTTTTGAGTTTGAGTAACAAAATGCAACATTTTGGCGCAAAAATTTTTACTCGAGTCGCAAGCTTTTTTGCGGCCAATAGTTTTTAACGCGACCGCTTACCTTAAAAATCACCTAAGGTTTCTCTTGGGTGGAATACATAAGAATACAGCATTTGGTGGCAGTCACCCGAAAATCTTAGGCCTCCCTCAACAGTCAGCAGCTTTGAGGAATAATTTTCCAGCCGCAGTGAAAAGTGGCGTCCGGCACTAAGTCCAAATTTTAGCTGCTGGAACGCCTAACTGGAAGAGGAAATTAATCTGACCGCAACAGATGTCGGGCGAGAAGTTCAAATTCTAATGGTTGACATGGCCATTCATGGCCGCTAACCGGAAACACACCCGCGTTGTTTTCGTAACTTTTCCCGTCCCTAACTTTTCCAGTCCCTTTGCACCCTTCGGGGATATTTCGCTCATAGCACTTTGTTTAAGTGAGCGAAATTTTCACATCACAGACCATCACCGATTAGCATTTTGTAACCGGTTCGCAGGTGGTGACAAACCACGAATTCGCACTTTACCATATCGTGGTTTCCTTTAAGAATATGACACTACCTACAGAATATCCAATGGAAACTCCACCCAGGAAGATCGGTCATTGACGTCTGTTTCCTTTATACTCCTCAGATTTAACAAATGATGTAATTTTTTCAGCGAACTTCGTCGTAACACATTTTCCTATGGAGCTCAGCTTCCATTAAGTACAACATTTTCGGATAACAGCGTGAACTATGCGGAGGAGATGCGGGGGCCATCAGCGTCATGCGGTAACTGTAGGTAAATTGCCAACACAGTAGTATCATTTCTATTAGGAATATGGCTCGCCATAGGTGGAATAAGTCATAAGGCGGTCATCATGATAACCGTAGCCGTTTTCACTCGCCTCGACTACTTATCGTAACCGCTAGGTCCGAGCTTATATGTGGTGCTGATTATGAGGCCTCACTTACACATGCAACCTAACCCAATGGCCAATGACGACCTTTCATACTATGAAGTGTACGCGTTGTCCATCATCTCCAATACTACTTATAACTGCTAGACCTATGTCCAGTTGCGACACTCAACGAGGGCCCGCTATACTCATACCTTCGCACGGCCGTTTCCCTTGGTTACTTATCGTAGCTGCCGAGCCTGAAAATATACACATAACTGGCTGTGAGGGCCAAACTGTACTTAATCCAACGAACAACAGCGATCCTTCATAACCATACAAGTCGTCCATCTGTCAAGCACATGCCTGAAAAATACACAACCACCCTTAGGAAACTGTGCTTCAAATTATTGGTTGCGTCGGTACAAACGTAGTGCGTAGTCAATCCAGTTTTCACTTTCAGGAAGCTGCTTCCGCTCGATAGAATTTCTGAGAAAATATATAATCAGTTACAACTCGCTTACATCTACAAAATCACTGACAACACACAATGAGGCAAAAGTATGTTGGCTAACGCAGCAAGCGACCACGCCGCAGCTGGAGTTTTGCTGTGCAATTAGTCCAATTGGTGGTAATTTGCGGACCGTGTGTGCGCCGGTGAATCGGTGTCAGGATTCAGCGGTCATACGCTTCATTGGACGCAGTGAAGTTAACGCCAAGGAAGGAGGATCGGCGCCCACGACGACCCATCCGTGGGCGAACACCCCAAAGTGCTTTGAAAACGTAGTCCAAACGAAGGAATGTTCAACATAAGGTGTTAGCATATGACGATGTTCATTTGAAACCTTTGAATATTCACATGTGCGTAGTTTTGTTGGGTGTCGGTTGAACATACTTGAGGTCCAGTATGGGCGTGGAATTCGTATTCAATTGTTGTCACCGTCTCCGCACGTTTTCTTTGGTAAAACGTTGGTATATTTTGCGAGAAATTCGTTTTCCTCAAGTGTTTTCGTCTGTATTGGATTTAGAAAAAACCTCAAAACTACATGAACGATAATTACGTCCCTACGTCCACACAAACTTAAAATTGCAGGCACCTATTGCGACCTATACAAAAAGGATTTTTCTATTTAGGCGGCGCCGGGGAATTCGTCATAGATGGTAAATTGTTTTTTTAATGATGGTCAGCTCACACCCTATCGGGTGCGTGGCGAGGTGTTATGTTCATCGGTATACTACACCCTCGACAGTGTGACAGGAATAATAATTAGTGGATTTAAGGGAAGAAACAGACAGTATAGTGAGGTTGCCAGTGCTTTGGAGTTCTGGCACCGTTGCAACGAATTTAGACGGTCTTGCGGGTGCTTATACAACAGCGGGCGATAGCTAGTGTAGATATGTTTTAATAGGAGCGAGCCATAAGATTGGGTAGTGCAGTCGCGGTAACTTCAGCGTGACGTCCTAATTGAATTCGTGGATAGCCTCGTACTTAAACACCTTGGGTGGGTCATTTGAGGTTGTTATGCTAGTTAGGAATGATCAAGGTAATGTGACAAACTAAGTCCGAAATTCCTAGGTTTATCATATGCGCGGCGTAGTTTATTGCTGCCAAACAAGCGAGGCAATGGGACAGCCGTGTCTAAACTGTGGACCTAATGCACAGCAATATGAGTTAGACGGCTGCCCGATATAACAGGCAACCAAGAGTAGACATGATTTTTAACCTTTGCAGTGAAGTGACACTGCCCGATTTCAGTGAACGGTTATCAGTATTTAGCAAGAGATAGTGGGTATGCGGCCAATGTGATAAGATGTATGTTTTGTGGTTCAAAGATGTACACGGGTTGTAGCTGGTTGTTCCATCAAGAAACCCTGTCGGGTGAAAGCGAGTCCCTAAGAATGACACCTGGGTTCACTATATATTACGTTGGTACCAACCCAACCAGGAAGTATAAACATAATTTGCCAAGGGTCGTTGTATATTTTCGAGGAGCTGGCTTGGAATTTAGACGACGTGTGTGAGTATGAAGGGTCGTCGTTGGCCCTAAGGTCAGTCTGTCGCGCATATTTGAGACCCCATTTTCATTGGCCCACATAGATGCTGGCCTGGTGTTTAATCTAGCTGGCCAAGGTTGGTGACATCGCGTACATTTGTTAAGATAACGACGGGCCACCATTGGTTATAAAATTGTGATAACGTCCATGGCTGACGCTCCGCGATTCGCGTCGCACACAGACACGGGGTTACCAGTGTTCAAGTTAGGCAATATCGCGTGCGGTGATCTTGTGTATGTATGTTGCAAGTGGGGCTACGCACTATTTGTGACCGGCCCTCTACCCTTAGTTGAACAAACATGGAAGCGTACAGCGTAGGGCCTGTAATAAGATAACATGGGTTATCCCGCATGTTGTAGTCTTACAACACACATTCAGACAAGTGAGGGAGATGCCACCGGACAAGTCAGTAATAGAAGCATGGAAGGGGTAGTTTTCGATAGGTACAGTCTACTAGTACACATCAGTTGGTTTGTTATACAGAGATTCAGATGGCCTCTGTAATCCATTTCAGGGTAGGAGCTTCAATATTCTCCATTCACATCTGCGTCCGTGTCCTTCTAACTAAACAAGCAACTTCTGTGCGTCCCTAAAAACACAACAAGAAGCAGCACATCAAGCATCTGATTCGAATAAACACACGTTTTTCAGAAGTGGCGACAATCAATACATGACCAAATCCACCTATAGCTAACAGTGATGCGATCTGTGCTAGAGAATGGTGCCACGCCGACGAACAGCCTTGGCTATTTTTGGAGTCTACACTCCACAAAGACCGTCTGACTTGCATGCAACTGCGGGGGACGTTTTTGGTTGTCCGTGAACTACGATTCCATTGCAAAGGAGTACAAACAGTGCAGCCTCTGTGACCGTTTATTCACATAGTACGTATTCATGAGCTCAAATAAGCGGATACGATAAAGGGACAGCAATGGTTAGTGCATTTATGGGAATAATATTAAACAGAGTCAAACGAACCGCACACACCTAGCAACCATTCGAGAGAAATTATTTGAGTTTATCGACTTTAAACAATGCCGATCCCGGCAATACAGCGGCAGCGGCTTCCGGATCGCCGGATGCGTGAAGAAGCCACTGCGCTTGTAATTATCCTGGCTTCGGAGCACAACACACATCAGTAGAAAGCAAATTTAGATTCCCTAAATGAGCAGTATGTCGTTCAGGTTGTTCCACGGTGTGAACTAAGCGTCAGGGTTCAAACAAAGGATTTCAGATGTTTCTGGCCAAGTCCAGCAGGTCTGTCTTCCCTCAGTACTGGTCCACGGCAATTTCAAGGGCAGCTTGGCTGGTAGATGGAGGAGGACGAATATGCAGAAAAAAGGCGGACGTTGACGGTGAGCTTTTTCGCTTGCCCGCCGTACTTGAGACAGCAAATGAAGCTGCCAACCTGATGAAAACACGCGACTGCTGATGTAGCGTAGTGTTATTTATAAATGTTCAAGAAATATTAACAATCTCTAAGCTGAAGCTTTCTTTCACCACCTATCCGCCACTCCACCAGAAGGAAGCTAGAGATATAACATGCTGCCAGGTTGCACAAGCTTAGACAGCAGTAATCGGGATGTCGCGGACGGAACCGCGAACCTTGTGGTGGGTTCGCTTGT